TTACAAATAATACTGCAATGAACATAGTTGAGCACATATCTTTGTTTACATGGATGTGGATCATTTGGGTATATGCCTAAGAAGGGGATTGCCGAGTCCTTTGGTAGACTGATTCCCATTTTCCTGAGGAACTGCCATACTGATCTCCAAAATGGCTGTGAAAGTTTGTACTTCCACCAGCAGTGGAGGAGTATTCCCCTTTCTCTACATCTTCTTCAGCATTAGTTGTCATTGGTGTTTCTAATTTTAGCCATTCTGGCAGGAATAAGATGGTATTTCAAAGTTGTTTAGATTTACATTTCCCTGTAGCTAAGGATGTTGAGCACTTTCTTAAGAGCCTTTTTGATTTCCTCTATTGAGAATTCTCTATTCAGTTCTGAGCCCCATTTTTAATAGGGTTATTTGGTATTTTGTTGACTAGTTTCTTGCGTTCTTTGTATATTTTGTCAGATGTCAGATATAGGATTGGTGAAAATCTTTTCCCAGTCTGTGGGCTGCCTTTGGTCTTGTCAACTGTGTCCTTTGCCTTACAGAAGCTTCTCAGTTTGAGGAGGTCCCATTTATTAATTGTCGATCTCAGTGTATATGCTACTGGAATTATGTTCAAGAAGTGGTCTCCTGTACCAATTCATTCAAGGGTACCTTCCACTTTCTCTTCTAAGAGATTCAGTTTGGCTAAATTAATTTGAGGTCTTTGGTCCATTTGGATTTGAGTTTTGTACATGGGGATAGACATGGGTCTATCTGCAGTCTTCTACATATCATCATCCAGTTGTGCCAGTGACACTTGTTAAAGATGCTTATGTCTTTGTGATTGTAGTTAACTTCCTTGGGTTGGAGTTTTTCTCTCAGAACTCTGTATTTGCGTATATGTTTTGTGAAAATCTGGCTTTGTCATTTATCTTGATTCTCTGTTTATATTGAATGAGAGTTTTGCTGGGTATAGTAGTCTGGGCTGACATCTGTGAACTCTTAGTATTTGTAGAGCATCTATACACAACCTTCGTCTGCCCTTCAGAATTTCCTTGGAGAAGTCAGGTGTAATTTTGATAGGTCTACCATTATATGTTACCTGGCCTTTTCAGTTTGTTATAAGGAATTGTGCCCGAAATGTATACTGGTATAGCATCAGGTGCTACAGATCTTTCAAAGGAAAACAGAAACCAGTTAAATTGTTCACACCCAGCAATAGTAATTTCAGAGACATTAAATTTTCAAATGCAAAAGTAAAATAAAGAATGTACTAGAAAAGTCAAAGAGTTTCTACCTCATCTTTGAAGGATAGAGAAATAATACAGGAGAAAAAGTGCCATCCAACAATAGAAACATAATTCAAACCCTATTTTAAAGGGAGAGTCTCTTTAAAGGATTCAAAACATAGGTAAACTTTTTAGGAATATAGTATGCAGGTATTTTTTCCTCTCACAGTCTTCTCACAAGCTTACAATATACTTAATACTTAGTGGTAAAATATTAATCTAATTTCTTTTTTTGGAGCAGCATAAAAGATTGTTTTCCATCTTCCTTGTTTTAAGCTGTGAGAGGTCCTAGTTATCACACTAAGTAAAATGCAAGAGAGAAAATTTGCAACTCAGAAAGCAAGACCTACTGTCCTAACTTGCTGACAAGATAATTGTTTAAATGTAATATTTAATGTAATATAAAAGTGGATTATGCAATTTTATTAAAATGAAAATTTGGCATTCATGAAGACAAAATTAAAGTGAACACTGGAAATCAAAATGCATATGAGGAATTACTATCAAGGGGAGTTCCCAAGGTTTCTGGAATAAAACAAAAATCAATATAGTAAATTAACCTCATCCCTTAGCACAGGCAGAAATTGCCAGAGAACATCACAGTTCAACCAGGGAGATCTTTCTGTAGTCTGAAACTCTGGGTAAATGAATAAGGAAGAGGGCTATGATAGTTGTGTACCTCTTGGAGAAACATTTAGCTCAACTTGACTCCACCTGAGACCATTTTTGTCTAACTCAAGACCTCTTATACTCAAACCCTACATGTTATCACACCTGTAAGTTTTTATCATTCATTTTGATTATTATTATTATTATTATTATTATTATTATTATTATTGGTTCTTATGTAAAACCAATCTCTGTCCATGCAGTAAATTTCATCCTTTCTGTTCTCCTCAAGGATGTCATTCTAGCATTTTTTTTTTTTTACATACTTCCATATTTTCTCTCCTGAACTGTTTTCATTCATTTAGAAGTATGCTGTATTTCTCCTGGTCTGATTATAGAGAAAAACACAGACTTTGTGTTGAACATTGTTTCATGGCTTCTATTTTGGCATTGTTTTGCTTCCATGTTGTGGCAACAGTCCTGAAATGGCTTGCCTATCCTCATCTGCTCTGCCAGTCTCCTTTAAATACAATCCAATTGGGCCTTGGTCCCACAGACCCTGTGCTTATGACTTCCCTGATGTTAAATCAGCTCCTACTTGACCTAACAGCAGCATTCCTCACCTTTGACTGTACTGTGCTTTTTTTTTTTTTTTTCCCTCCACATTCTCTAGCTTTTCCTGATTCCTATCATGCCTCACCTTTCCCCTTCCAGCATTATCCTTATCTTTGCCCTTTGAGGTGGGCCACAACATGCTTAGATTATTTTCTTGCCTTCTGATTTTCCTTGTGAGATTTTTTTTTTTATTCCTAATCTCTCTGCCAGCAATGCTGTAATTCACATCTATAGCCGAATAGAACTCCTGAAACATACATGCTCACACACTCACATAAACACTGAAACACACACACATGCACATTCACACACACTCAGTCACTCACACACATACTTTCTCACACACACACTCTCTCTTTCTCTCTCTTACACACACACAGACACACACACACGCACACACACACACACACACACACACACACACACACACACACATTCACCATATAATCGCATCTAGTCAATTGTGCTTTTCTTGACACCTGAAAAACATATCCAGAGTACCAGCATATCTTGCTCTCTTCCTAACCACCTAATTCACACTACATTATTCGTCTTCTGCTTGCACTGAGAGTACTGAGTCATCCTTTAATAATAAAACTTTGGTTTGGTGACTCCTCTATTCAAAATCCTACACAGCTCCTCCTTGTGCCATGAGGGCATCATCAGAATCTTCTGTGATCCTGACAGTGTCCAATGGTATGAATCACATATTTATCTCCATTTCCCCCTTTTTATTCTATACATGTTGTCACTTTTGTACTTCTCCAACACAATAGGCAAGTAACTAAAATCAAATAAAAATCACCAAGCAAAATGTTCAAATGTGAGCAAAGGAAATGGCTTTAGTTGTTATACAAGATATTTACAACTGAACAATTAAGTTAAAAAAAATGGCTGATGGTATACCCCTCAAAACCTTGAGGATTATATTTACAATCATCAATAAGTATTTGTAGCCTGAATACTAAAAACCTAGAGGCAGATATTGGGGTTCAAGCTGAAGATCAGAGAAGCAAAGGAGCCAAGTCACCAGAGAATTCTTACCATAACCATGGCTGGGGAGATCCTCTCTTCAACATGGCTGGAGACTAATCGGCCTGATCTAAACACTGAATGCCACATGAGACCATGGGCTCCTTCTTATATACACCCAGTGCTGAGATTAAAGGCATGAGTGCTGATTCTCTTTTGAACGGATTCACTCTCATTTGGTCCTAGGTGGCCTTCAACTCCCAGAGATCCATTTGCCTCTGTCTTCTGAGCCCTGGGATTAAAGGAACATGCAACCACTGACCAGCTTCTACGGCTAACTAGTGTGACTTTGCATTCTGACCTCCAGTGGCTTTATTATATCATAAACAATGTATCACCACAGTTATTGATAATATTAATAATATTCTTCAAATAATGATTTCTCACTTTGTATGATATATGTGAAAAGGATACAAATCTATGTTCACAACTTTCCATAATAATGTTTATCTCCCATTTGTTACTTATTGTAATCAAACTTAGAGCTTCAATTGTTAATTTTTAAATAAAAATTATAGTACTCTAATAATGTTTTGAAAAACATTTAGTGAGTCATACTTTGAAGTAAAATACAGAATAAATATGTATATGCATCTGAGAAGTGATGTAATTATTTTTTAATTAAAGATATTAAAATGGATTTAAGGTGAAAATATAGGGGTTAGTTTTATTTCAGTATGCATCCATCACCTTAATATTATATGGCTATATGATGGAAATTTTAGAATTAGAGCAAATTTCTATTAATAGTCACATTATCACATTAACATTAGCACAGACAGCCAGGTGGCTCTGTAGGGATGTGTTTCCATTGCTCCGTGAAATCATTTGTCACTCATATGTGCACAGTATTGTTTTAAATACTGAGAATACAGCAGTGACTAACACATTTCTGTGTCATAGAACTTAAACAATGATGGCTTTCACACCTAGGTTCTGTCTTTCCCCCAAGCTTATTTTTCTTCACTTCTTTCTGTGTTGAAGGATATTTGATTGCACTGTGACACTCCTTGAGTGTGCTATTGAAGTTACTTTTGAATCGGTGAGTGGGGCCTGCGACTAGGCAGTTATATTTAGCCATACAGAAGCCAGGATTATGGATAGGGAAGACAGACAGGAAGGAGGAGTGAGGAACTAGAATTCACTCACTCCTTTCAATTGGGACATGTGGAAAGAAGAGATTCTGGTTGGTCTCTGGTATAAAAGGAAAGGTCAGCCTGTTGTCTCTCCTCTTCTTGTTTGATCTATATGTTTCACCCTGATATCTGAGTCTCAAGTTTTTATTGTTAATAGAACAATTTATCACAATACAACATTTTTTGGTAGTTTTGCTTTTTTTGAGGCAATGTTTCTTTGTGTGACAGCTGTCATGGAACTCATTCTGTAGACAGTGCTGGCCTTGAATTCACAGAAATCCACATGAGTCTGCCTCCTGAGTGTTGGGATCAAAGTCGTGTGTGTCCATTACCCAGCTGGTCTTGATATAAGAATAGGGAATTCTTCACAAACTTTCATGTCATCCTTGTGCAAAAGCCATTCCAATCTTCTTCATACCATTCCAATTTTAGTACATGTACTGCAATGCACATTGGGCACCAAGATGTTGTGGTTTGTTAAACTGTTTTTATATCACTAAAAACTTGAAAGTCTGATATTAGGGTAAAAGCCTGGTAGATTAAAGTACAGAGGAGAAATGAGCCGACTCTCCTTTTCTTAACTCAGACCCAGCCAGCAATTCTCTCCACATGTCACAGATCGAAAAGATAGCGGGAGTCCCAAGTCCCTGCCTTCTCCTTCATTCTCACCTCTTTCCTGTCTTCCCTACCCATATCCCCAACTTCTCTATGGCTGATTCTGATCATGTAGTCCCTGGCTCCACCTGTGATTCAGAGTTAACTTTATTAACATACTCTAGGAGTCTCAGAATGTGATCAAATATCCCCTGACGACTCTGCTTCTTCTTTAAAGTGATACTTAGGTAAACGTTTTGAAACTTTAGATTATTGTTTTTTGTTTCCTGATAAAGCACTTAATGTATGTAACAACTGAGCAAAAACTCAGGATATATACTGTAATTAATTCAAAGAATGTCTAATGCATTTGGATAAAATGTTTTTCTCCTATACTTCAATTTTCTGTAGACAGCTGCACTGTATATAAAAGCTGCCACATCTTTTCCATTGGTGAAGAGAGACACTTTTCAAGCCATTACCTTTAACAATGGGCTTTGTCTTAGCATTAATTTTAATGTTCTAATAATTCACTTGGCACTAGAATTTCATCTACCATCCAAATATTTCCAAGTATGTACAAACATTAATTAAGTAGCACAAAATCTCTGTAAGGGAAAGTATTATTACAATTCTGGAATTGAACAGATCATTGAATAGGAAAAAAATAATGGTGGGGATTTCATTCTAAACTAATCAAAAAGGGAGGAGATTGCCAGCTGGAATAATTTCAATTCATGACTTCACTCAAAGAAAAAGGGTTCTGAACTGGGTAGGGCCAAATCATATGAAATTAGACTATACCATTCAAATCATCCGTTAGTTTAGGGTATAAAAAGAGAGTGGTGACTGACTCAGGCCCCCCTGAATATGGGTCTCAGCCAGAAGGACTGAGCAGTCTAAGGGACCTCAGACAGTGGAGCCAGGATGTATCCATGGTGCACAAAAGGTCCTTGCGAACACATCCCCCATGGAGGGATAACTGCCTTAATCTAGAGACAGGAGAGAAGCCCTAGTCCCTACTTCACAGTACCTGTCAGATCTACATGACCCCAACTGGATGGCATTCCCCTACATATGGAATTGGGGTGGGGGGATGGGAGGGGTGGGTGTTTAGAGTGCATGTGAGAGGGCAGAGAGGGTAAAAGGGAGGGAACGAGGGAGGGGGGAGGAAGGGAGGGAAGAAGGGAGAGGAAATTGGGATCAACATGTAAAATAATAAATTAAATACAAAAATGCTTTGACTCCAAAATTTAAGTTGAAGGACAAGTTACTGGGGAAAAGGATTTCTATTTTTGTTTCCACAGAAAATGAAAAGCTGTGGATTCCTTCCAGACTAATGTGGTTTGATCAAGTCAGACCACCTGAAACAGAGTACCAGGTGATCCTACATTCAAAACAGCTGGACAAAGCAGACCTTACAGACTACGGCCAGGATTTCTGCATCTTCTTAGAATCCCACATGACAGCACCCCTTATCAGCAGGAAGTAGTTTGGAAAGAACAACACCCAAATTCCCAAATATTGTCTATAAATGTTTGTTTTCATTTAAATGGACTTGGTTATAATATATATATATATATATATATATATATATATATTAAAAAAAGAGAGTGGTAATCAATTTAAATAGTATTTGCATGACAACTTATGGAAAGTGAAAGATGTTTGGTATGTTTAAAGCACCAAAAAATTTCCTAACTCAAATACAGTCACAAAAGGGACATGCATTTCTTGGTAGCTTGTAGTTCTCTGTGTAGGGATGAGATTTCTTGAGCTTTCTTTATCTATGTTAGCATGCCTATTGGTGTTGTCCTTCAGTTGGTTATCCAATACTAAATCATCATCCTTGAAACCATATGCATTCAAGAAACATTATGCATACTGATCAGGTTGTATTGCTGTATTTGGGAGTATGTGTGTGTGAATGCGTGTGCATGTGTGTAACCACAGTCAATGAAAAAATGAAAAAAAATGAGAGACCATGAATTTAAAAGACAACAAGGAGGACTATAGGCTGTATGGGTTATATGGAATGGCATGAAGAGACCAAAGGGGGAGAAAATAATGTAATTATAATTTCAAGAAAATCAAAATAGTATTAACAAAATAAGGTAGAGATGATTAGTTCTAAAAGAGATATGTGCAATTCAATTGCTATAAAAGTTTAATGGCCACAGAAAATGCATCACAAATCCATGATCTCTTGAAGGAAAATGTGTTTCTGACACTGAGTCTATTTGTTCTACAAAAAAAAAAATGTTTTGTAGATCACTTACCTACAAATAAAAAAAAAATAAGACACTTAAGTTTTTATTCTACTAGTAATTCTCCTCTGTACAATGAGAATTATAAATATTAGACAAGGAACATTTGTTCATTGTGATCCGTATGACATGGAAGCATTTGAATCTTCAGTATCCTAAGTTCTTGATCCATAAAATAAAATGGGCATTCTGGGGCAAGGGCCAAAAAAAAACTATAACTGTATGTTATCTACACCCAACAAATGGACCAATGGATTGATAAGGAAATAAATCTTACTTTCTTTCTGTGCATCTTCACTGTATTTAACTTCATCTAAATTTCATAACTGTCAGATTTTGTACAGCTTTTCCATGGAAAAGATTTCATGTTTTGCTGGTTTGTAATTGGCAATGCTTTCTGAAGGAAAAGCTGTGAAAGACATTGGAGTTAAAGGGCTTATGCTCTTCTCAGGAAGCACATTGCATTTGCATTTACCATAGCTCTAAGAATTAGGAGAGATATATTGTGTTTGCATGAAAAATAGTTTCAGAATTACTTCAATCCTTTTCAGTACACATGAGTGAAAAGTGCTGAATGAGATTGGTCATTAAGCTGTGGAATATGTGAAGGATGTTACGGTGGGTTTTCCACTGGAACTATGTCATCCATAAAAACGCACCTTCTTGGTTATTCTGATTACTTTTGCAAAAGTACACAGCTGCCCACTATGTTAATAGATGAAATTTGAGGAAAGAACAGCTTTCCTGAATTTTAATATAATAAAGATCATCTTATAAAATACCAATGTGCAGGGCACTTGAAACCTCATACTATTTAGTATGAGTTAATCTAAACTTCTCAACAAAAACAACTAATATTTTTAATATACTATACCTAAAAAAAGAAAACAAAATTAATTTTTACCTAAAGCTTAAAGTTCTTAAAATATCTTTATTGAAATATTTTATCTGCAAATTTAGCTAGTCAATATTTACTCTTACCTGTTCCTCTTTGGTTTATCTAAATGAGTTACAGATTAAAACCTATCAATCTAAGTATTTTCTGTTTTTTTTAATTCTTATCACCTATCAATCTAAGTATTTTCTGTTTTTCTTTTTTAATTCTTATCTCATATATTACATCAAGACCACAATTTCCCCTCCAGTCACTCCTTGAAGTCGATCCCCTCCCTCTACCTTCCCTCTCCTCCAGATCTGTTCCACCTTTGTTTCCCTCCAGAAAAGAGATGATCTCCTAGGGATATCAACCAAACCTGGTTTAACAAGTTACAATAAGACTATGCACACACCCTCATATCAAAGATGGTTGAGGCAACCCAGTAGGAGAAAAAGGGTCCCAAGTGTAAGCAAGAGAGTGACAGACACCTTCTACTCCTTTTGTTAGGACTTCTTCAAGAATGCTAAGCTACACAAAGGTAACATATATGCAGAGGATCTAGCTTGTACCCATACAGCATCCTTAATTGTCACTTCAGTTCCTATGAGTCTTTAACACGCCCTGCTTAGTTGATTCTGTGGGTCATATTCTCATGGTGTCCTCAGTCCTCTGGCTTCCATCCCTCTCCTTCAGGGTTCCCAAGGTCTGCCTATTTCTTATGACTCAGATTTATGCAGTTTATGACAAGTATGCTAGAAAACAAATTAATTTATTTTATTTAAAGCAATAATTATTAGCAGCAATAAGGGGAAATATTATGTATTCAGATACATAATAAATATCATGTATTTACTTATTAAATATTTATGGAATTCCTCACAAAAGACATTTCTACCTAGCAAAATTATGACACACACACACACACACACACACTCACTCACACGTCTATGTTGGGAAATATGAACTAGAGATTAGAAAATGTTTTTATCCGAAGCAGTTACAAGCAAATGACACAACTGTTAATTGTACAGAACACTAATATATCTTGAGAAAGCAAATGCAACCCAGGAGGTTTATTTTCTTGTGGAGAATGGTATCATGCAAGTTGTAAAGACATGACTTCAGGTGCCAGAATTCAAGAGAAAATGTTAGACCTTGATTTTTAGAATCAGGCAGAGTTTCCATATCTATAAAGGACTCTTGAATTTAGAAAGAAACCAATATTGACATGTTTCCTTGATTACTATATTTGTCAGTGTTGTTTATGTGGTATTAAATACCACTAATTGTTCACATTTTCTCAGAAATACATGTTTTCCATATTTATACCCTCTTTGCCAAATTTCTTAATTGGTTATCTTAACTAAGCATAATGCCCTGTATTATATTCTGTGCAATGTGAGCTAATAATTCCAGGCTACTGATGGTATGCTTAAATTACATTGCAACTGACTTCCGGATTGTAAACTTGCATGAAACTTTGACTAAGCTTACAGGGGAACTGCAATCAAAATAGTTTCAGAAATGTCATGGAATTAAGCAAGGTTAAATTAGTAACAAGCAATGGTGATCAGTATTACAGGGAAACCAAGGAACATCAAATTGTTTCAAAGCTGGTAGGGGAAGGTGAAACAACAATCAAGAGGCAATATTGTTACCATCAGGTCATGCCTGTCTTAGACTGTGCCTTGCTCAGAATTGGGCATTTCAGTG